CATTTTGTATCATTCTATAGTTATATATATATATATATATATATATATATATGTATATGCATATATAGTATTGAAACTAATCTTATATGACGTTCTACATGATAATTTTATATCCTACATTACGTATATTATGTTACGTATGATATGCGTCTTCTTTTTCAATTTTATATAAATATAAATGTCTACTTATGTACCCTCAATGTTGGAGGGCATGAATGCTAGCTAAAGTCAAGTTAAATGACATATTTATGTATTATGTCTTATTTTATTAATAACTTGATTTTGGGATCTTAAAATTCGAAAAATATCATAGATTTAACATGTTGTATCATTACACCAATAAAATAGACATTTAATGGCAATAGGTTTTCCTTATATTGTCACAAAAATATTTCGAGGCAATTAAGTTAACAACATTATATTCAAAGTCACTGAAACTTTTAGCAACATTAGAATGTTGGTTATAAATATCCACATTCATAAATATTACAGTTAAATATAATATGACGACAATTGATAATAAATGCGACAAAATCCTTTATTTGTTATAGTATAGAAATTTAACGAACTAGGGATTGCGATCTGCTTTAGTTGACTTATAAAAGTTTCACATCTTATCATTTGACTATTACTTTATATATGTCACATATATAGTTTGATTTGATAGATAGTTTATTTTCTAGCTGCTATGATATTTAGAGGCGGAGCTAGGTGGGGTTCATGGGTTCGGACGAATTCATTAGCTTTTTCGTAGACTCTATATTTGTATTAGAAAATTAAATAAATATATGTATATTAACATGTAAACCTCGAAAAAAATAGTGAGTAAATATGTGTAAGACTATATAATATGAGTAAAATGGTAATCTCATTATCAATCATTGTTTTCTTAATAGGTGTACTAATTCAAAATTTAACAAGTAAAAAAGAGACGGAGGGAGTATTTGTTATTGAGAAAAAAACTCAAATATGTCATCAATTTTTTTTAAAAAACTCATTTATGTTATCGATTAAAAGTTTGATTCATACACGTCATTATAGCCGATTAATCACATGTAGCACAATATGTACTATATATCGTGCACTAGTTAAGATGGCTTAAAATAACATTATTCTGGATATAGTTGATTTCTTTTTCTTTTTTTAAAAAATAAAATAATAATAATTAGATTAATTATTGGGATTTGAAAAGATTTCATTTCTACTGTAATAATTGCAAAGAATTAGTCGAGCCTTTCATTTTTTTTTAATATTAAGCCATCACCAATGTTGTGAGCGCAAGACGCAAAGGAACTGATTTGACCCCCTACCAGGCAATCATATTATATCAAGTATAAAGCATGACTAGTATAGTATATCGATATCAAATTCATCAAATTATAAAAATGTTACATGATCCAAAAGTAAATAGAAATATGAATTTAAATCAACTCGTAAAACATTCTCAAAATAAAAAACAAACCCTAAAATTTATTTGATTGATTGAACAATTGGAGAAGCAAACTCTAGAAGCTCTTTGTCCTTCTGAAAAATTAACATTTCATCTTCTGGTAATGTGATTAGTACATCTATCCCTTCTTCACTAGGGTCATCAAAAAGTATGAAACTTTTCTTCATTGGATATTTTGTATATGTAATTTTTATAGGCCTACCCCATCCAAAATCAGTCTTACTATATAATCCAAAATTGCACACACTTGTTGATAAATAAATATCAAATATATCCTTCTCCATCATGTCTACAACACCTTTCATTTTTCCAAGTGCATATGGGACTATCTGATTCATATCTAGATTCTTCAACTCGTTTCGAACTTGTTGTTTAATATTTTGCAACTGAGCAACATAGTTAGACAACTCTATCTCATTTTCTGTCATTGCTATTGTGCTATAGACACATGTTGCATTTCCTATTGTGTCTAGTGGAATTAGAGGGCGTAAATTTATTACATGGCTCATTAGAGATGGTTTAAACAAGCCCAAATTTTCCATAGATGCAGTCGCCCCACATTTATGAATAAGTGATGTGGCAACTTCAACGCGAGTTGGATTTTGTATTCCTGTAATACTATTTTTGAGTCTTCTCAAATTCGAGGATGAGAAATTGTACATTCTTGACACATGTCGTTGTGATTCAGGTGAAGCATTTATAGACATAATATTTGGACCACCATCCATTAGTGGAAAAAAAGTAGATGCATTAAATTGAGGAGATGGTTTGAAATCCACGTGTTGAGCTGTAGTGGCCCAATCATTAATGAATTTAGCAAAACTATATCCATCAGCAATTTTATGTGACATACATGCACTGACTGCTATTCCGCCACAATCAAAATGACTTAATTGAACCACTAGTGGACTTCGATTCAAGGTACTGCACCAAGGCAAGTCTTGTTGGAAGACTACATCCGCAGCATCATTAGAAGAGTTGTTGAGAATTTCGGACATTGAACAATTGATTTTGACATTTAAATACTCAGCACCTGTGTCATCACAATCAACATAGGTATTATTATCCTTGATTCGTCCCGCGAAGGGATAATAAGAGGATAATACTTTTGAAAGGGAGTTTTCAAGAATTTGTGATATTTGGTTTTTGTTATAATTTTCAGGTTTGGGGTACAAGAAGGCAATTGGTGTATATTGAGGAAGATTTATGCAATCCATGAAAGAGAAATTGTGTTGTCTAAGTGAAGGAGGAGTAGGGGATAGAAGTTTAATCATTTTCCTAGAAAGAATTGTTGATGATGCCATTTTAGCTATCAAAAAGTTTGAATGTGCCCTTACACTTCCACATTCACACTTATATAGGCTACCAAAATAATTATTCCCTTTGTTTCATTTTATATGAGTTAGTTTGACTTAACACGAAGTTTAATTGAGAGTTGTGACTTGTGTGACTGTAAATCATTTAGTATTTTAAAGTTAAATTGTTACTTAATATAGAAACGTGTCATTCTTTTTTGAGATTGACTAAAAAGAAAAGTAAATCATATAAATTGAGACAGAGAGAGGGAGTATAAATTACACATGGAGAAGCTTTAGATGAGCTGTAGATGTTGACGAATTAGTTATCTTCTGTATCTATTTGTAATTAAAATAGTAAGGCTAAGAGATTTGGGCCAAAACACATCTCAAGTATCACTTTTTTGTGTTCGAGATTTTTAATCTGAATTATTAAAAGTTTGTGTTTTATACATCTTGACAAGTATTTGATGGTGTGTGGTGAACATTCTCTCTTTGTGTTTAAAAATGATGTCAAATGACAGTCCATACGAATAATTAAGGAATTGGAGATTTTTTTAAAAGAAAATAATAGATAATAAACAAAAACACATTCTAGGTATCACTATGTTTTGCGAGTTTCCTACCTAAATTATTATCATCAACTATTTATCAAAACACTTCTCGAAATAAATGAGTCAGTTAGCATATGTGGACGAAATTTTATGCGTATATTAAGTTGTCACACATCTTTTGACGATTGTATTCTTGGCTTAGTGAGCTTCGAGGTGTTTTTTTATTATAGTTCATATAGAAAACACAAACAATTAATAGTTGAAAATCACAAAAAAAGTGATACTTCAGATTTATTTTTAACCATTATTTCTAAAAACTAAATTATTTATGAGTCCCTTATTGTTGTTCAAGATTTCAAATTAATTTCTCCCAAAATAGTATGAAAAAATAATTTTGTAATAGCAACCCTTTAAATTACAAAACTACGACGAACTAAAAAATAGTGCAAATTACACTTGACACGTTCTTTTATTTTAAAAATTAATACAGAATTAAAAAGAATTAAGAATTCGAATTTCAATATATAAAAATTGAGATAAGGATCTCTTAAAATTTGTAGCTAATTATTATTTTATTCCAGGTGTTTAATTGTAGCAATAAAATCCAATTAAAAAAGTACAGCAATGTGGAGAGGAAAATATATAAAAATAATTGTTGACCATCAGTATAATAATTTTATTAAATTTAGAGGAAATGACGTGCGTTCTTGTTCCATTAAATAATTTGATTTTGAATAATTAAGAGAATATAATCAACCATATCAAAGATTTATGCTAATTTTATTAAATTTAGAGGAAATGACGTGCTTGCTTGTTCCATTTAAATAAATTTATTAAACAACGTGCAAGTCTGTGAGTTGATATATCAATTTAAATAAAAATAAAAATCCAAGTTTACTGAATTTAAAATATATAAAAAAAAAAAAATTAAAAACTTAATCCCTTCTTAGTATTCTAGGTATATGATTATTTTCTTTCAAGATGAAATGGATAAATCGCTTTGATATTGTGTACAATGAATACAACAGGTAATCAAGAATTTACTTGAGTAAAAATTTGAGGAAGCAATTTATATCTATAGTCAACAAAGAATAATGTGAACGTATGTTATTGTTCTTCGTCAGAAAAGTCACAACAAATTCAATGTGAAAATGCACTATTCAAATTGCATCCTTTCTCCACATATCTTTTCGAGAAAACACCTATTCAATTCTGATTCACACCTTACGAAATCCAACAATCCCCCATAAGGATATCGATCTTGACATTTTCAAAAAACACAAAGTACATAACTAAGACATAATACAAAACTATGCCCTTTAACTTGTCTTCAGTTGGCATCGATCCATGTCCTTCAAATTTGGGTGCGCACAAATCGACACTTAAACTTGTATAAAATTAAATAAGCAAACACACACATCTTACAAGACATAATACAAGTATGATATGAATTGCCATGTAGGATGCAACATAGGACGAATATCCTGTCTATTTGTTCAATTTTATATAAGTTTAAGTGTCTACTTGTGACCAAACTAAATGACACGTATACGTATTATACCGAAAACTAATGAGGGACTAATTGTTGATTGTTCATCAATAAACTAAAGTACTTCACAGCTGCCATATATATTTTGTGATTCATTAGCCAACTAATTAATCTTTTGAATATCCTATAAAAAATCTCAAACGTGCAAAGCATTTTGTTTCTTATTTAATTATTCCATTTTAATACATTAAATTCCATCTACAAATATATCTTACTTGTTGGCTCAACAATTAATTGTTAGAGGACCAAAAATGACTAATAACAACAATAGTTTTGAAGGGTCCTCTTCAATATTTAGTGAAAAAATGTCACAAAAGGCAAATGAAATTAAAAAAGAGAGAAATATTAATACTAATACTATTGCATTTTACAAACTTTTTTCATTTGCTGATAATATTGACATAATATTGATGTTTTTGGGAACAATTGGTGCTTTTGGAGCTGGACTAGCTCAAATTATTTTGCCTGTGTTGTTTGGAGATTTGGTGGACTCATTTGGATTAAACCAAACTTCAGGGGTGCTTCAAGAAGTTTCCAAGGTAATTAATTTTTTTAACAATTTATTAGTAAAATTGTTTGCGCTTTGCGTTTGTATATTTAAGTATTACAGTCATTTTAAATGTCATATATTTGAAACACTTAGTTCTATGCATTTCTCTTATTACTGGCTTTTTATCCCTGTGAACAATGTTTTAATGATTAGGCTGGAATAGTGATATGATTCGAACCTGTAATCTTTAGGTCATGAGTTTGACGAGTGGATCGGTTCCTTTTATACCGTTTCCCTCTTCACTTTTGAATCACATAAAGATTTTTAGTTCAGCTGAGCTATCTTAATTACTATGAATTTTTTTTAAAAAAAAAATGTAAATTCTCCTTTTCCCGAATCCTAACGATGATTGAAGCCTCTATATTAAAGGTTTTACGCGACTTTATCTTTTCGAAGATGGACAAACTCTTCTTTACGTACACAAATTGATGTACAAAATTGAAGACGATCACGTTTGAATGTGATAGGCCGTGTTGAAAATGTAATTAAGTAAATAAAGTATTTTTTTTTAAAAATAACTAAATGAGATAGTCATACACTACATTATAGAATCAAAACAAGCCTTGGGGAAAAGGAGATTTAGACTTGTATATGAGACAGCATGTTGAGAATATAACTAAATGAATTAATACATAAGATCAATAGTATAATTGAGAGGGTCAAATAAAAAGATTAAGAGCGAAGGATAAAAAATACACCTAAAATATTTGTTTTTTATAAATTTCATACGTGAACTATGAGGTGTGAGTTTTCTTATGCAAAGTATTGTCGAATGTTTATTGAAACATACTTCAATTATTTACAACAATAACATATTCAGTAAAATCTCACAAAATGAGATATATGTGGAAGGTTGAGTGTATACCCTAGGGCGGCGCCCCTTTGTGGTCAGGTGTCATCCGAACCCTCTTCGATGAAAAATTATTATTCATACATGGCTAAAATATTTTTTTCATCTATACGGTAGATGCTGAACCCCTATCGGCTAGTTTATGTGTTTGCTTGTTCAGATTTTGAACTCGTTGATGAAAATCCTAGCTCAGCCACATTTCACACCCGTAGTTCTTGCTCCTACTCTCGGACGAGAGGTAGAGATGTTGTTTCTGAAACAGCCGTGACTCTAGTAATACCTTAACTATGTAGATAAAGATAATGTGTTGGATGAAACTAGATAATGAGAATCAAGGAAGATGAAAGTGTGAGGAAATAATGTAGAGAAGGTGTTTGATGAAACTTCCCAAAGAAGAAACCTGATGTGGTCAATCTATCGTTATTCGTTAACATATACATTGCTGTTTAGCAACAAAAGTTGCTAAATCCTTCATATGTGCATATTATGAACAATCATGACTCTTGTTAAGCTATGTTATTTTTCAGGTATCATTAAAAATGGTTTATTTGGCCATGGCTTCAGGTGTAGCAGCATTGCTTCGTAAGTCTTAACTAACTATATTTTGTTTGTGCTAATTGTTTTCTAAGTTGCTAAAAATTTTGTGATATTTGTTTGGTAGAGGTGTCATGTTGGATGCTTACTGCAGAGCGACAGGCTGCACGACTAAGGGTATTGTATTTAAGAAGTACTCTGCGACAAGATGTTAGTTTCTTTGATAAGGAAGTAAATACAGGGGAAGTTATTGGGAAAATGTCTGGTGACATTTTTGTCATACAAGATGCTATGGGCGAGAAGGTACGAGAGTGTTGTTGAAAATGTTAAAAGAAAAAAGTTTTGGATATGTATATATGTTATATTATAGTTTTGCTTATGCTCAGGTAGGGAGGCTCATAAGGTACATGACAATGTTTATAGGAGGATTTGTTACTGCGTTCATCAAGGGGTGGCAGCTAGCACTTGTTATGATTTCACCCATTGTTCCACTGGCGATAGTTCTTGGTGTCATGTACCTCTTCATGTCTAGAAAGGCTTCGCTTTCACAAAAAGCTTATTCTAATGCAGCCAATGTAGTTGAGCAAACAATTAGTTCCATCAGAACAGTAAGACTTTAACCTTACAACTTAATGTTTATTTTCCTGTCATTTTAAACATTAATGAACCAAATGTGTCATGGCGATGACAGAAATAAGCCAACTATTAACGGATGGCAATGCTAATCTTACATGAAATGTTGGTTTTTACTTTGAGGGATGTCATTTATATCAGAGTTAACATACTTTCTCTAACTTTTACATTGTACAGGTTGCATCGTTCACAGGTGAAAAGGAGGCTTGCGAGAAGTATAATAAGTCCTTAGAGAAGGCATACAGATCTGGTGTACATGAAGGACTTGCAAGTGGCTTAGGCATGGGATCAGCCAATTTTATTCTCTTCTGCAATTATGCTTTGGCTTTTTGGTATGGT